AGATATCGCTGCAATGAAATTACATCACAATGCTTTGCAGAACATTGTGACATCACTGGTTACCATGACGTCACAATCAAATGACATCACTAATGGCTCTGCTACTGAAGCTGTTTGCAGTACTTTTTACACTGAAGACACTGCTAATTACTGTCTACAAATTGAAAAAGTTGAAAGAATGATGTTGGATGATAAATAAAATCTCACCCTCGTGTCTTTTGATATCAAATATATCAACACTCGTTGTCAAAAGACACTCGGGTGAGATTCTCTATTTATCACCCAAAACTGGCTCCCACAGGAGATATTGCTTGGGTGACCAAGTTTTTGATAGTGTAACATGCCGTCAAAAACTTTGACAAAGTTTTTGACGGGACTTTGATGGAACAGAAACCAATCCTATTTCTCGTCAAACTTTGATCAAAGTTTGATGACGTTGATTTAATTTAGCCAATCACACTGCAAAGAACATTTACCCCTTTTCAACCGGAAGTGCATAGAGTCAAGTCAAAATGAGTCAACTATTTTTGACTGACGAAATGTTTGAAGAATTAATTGATTTGTTTCAACAACAAGCAGCCTTTCTCGGGACCAAATATGCCTTTGCCTACCCCGACACCGCCTTTTCAACATGGCTATACACAAAATACATATGACAACAGCAAAAGAAAACCAACAGAAGCATCCACCTTGGCAAGATAATTCCCACCAAAACTTTACGGCCTGTCAAAAACTTTGACGAGTGAAAACATTCCAATTTGGACCAAGAAAACTTGGTCAAAAATTTCTTTGACCAAGTTTTGGATCACAGTTTTTGATAGTGTAACGGAGGCTTAACGGGGGCTTGAGATCTACATTGTAGATATCGCTGCAATGAAATTGCATCACAATGCTTTACAGGCCATTGTGACGTCATTGGTTACCATGACGTCTCAATCAAATGACATCACTAATGACTCTGCTACTGAAGCTGTTTGCGGCACTTTTTACACTTAAGACACTGCTTATTACTGTCTACAAACTGAAAAAGCTGGAAGAATGATGTTGGATGATAAATAAAATCACACCCTCGTGCCTTTTGATATCAAAAGGGAGCAAAGGTATAAAGGAATTATGAGCTCATATGAGCTCATTGTATCACAGATTTTATCATAAATCAACATGTAACAACTATTTTAAAAATATTTCCTTCTGTTTACTTCGATTGTAATGTTTTGTTTTATATAATATATTTTGTTGTTTAACGCCGCAATAGTCCATCTATATAACGGCGGTCTGTAAATAATCGAGTCTGGATACTTCTGTGATTGATATAATGAGTATCGATCCACGCAAATGGGATACCGTGACATGCACCGACCACGTCAGCGATTGTAACCACCCGACCCCGTTAGTAGCCTTTACGACAATCATGGGTTGCTGAAGACCAATTCTCACCCATATCCTCACGTTTTTAAAACAAGAATTAGATACATTCAAGGCTCGGACTGCTTTGTATATAGCTTAAAACAAATGCCATGCACTTGCATGCCCACATCAGGCCAACCGTGGGTCACTGGGTGCAAGCAGAGCGAGGGAGGACACGCGAATGAAACTAATTTAGATATATAAGAGTGCAACTAAAAATTGAAATGTATAAGGAAGGTGCAGCTAATATAGACCTATCCTACCTGTTCTATTGTCATTCATCAATGATGGAAACAAGCTTCGGGGTGTGTTTGTTCTTGTAAACACGGTTTAGTGAAAGACACGGTGTAGGACGTCGGTCGTGGGGTGCAGCACGCCGTGAGAGGGACCAATACGGCATCAACGTCAGATGAAAGTCTTGAAACTGACATAGTGCTGGTGATTAAAGTATTATTAGACAAAGTTCGCTGGAGGGGGACACATGTTTAGATAAGATCTGCAATTGTCACCGTTGGCATTGATTTATTCTTTTCATGTTTGAAGATAAATAAGTCCCCCATGGAGAAACCTGGCAATGTTTTGGACATCACGCCATGGACGCAGTTGTCTTATTTCTGAATTTCGTCATATCTTGAAAAAAACGTTTAAGTCATGGATGAGCTAGAGATGATTTTTATTTCACTTCTCAAGGTTTCCAAGCATGCTTGCAGGGTTATTACGTAAGCGGCTTGCGTGCAGCGTACATTATGGTTATGACGTCACTGAACGGTGTGGTTTGACATAACTGCTATCTGTCTCTCTTTTATTGTCCTCGGCATGTACATAAGGTGAAGCGTTACATGTTTAATGAGATATTTATGACGACAGTCATTATCTGTTTTTTTTACCGGCGGTAATTTTGTAAGGATGTGATGATACATACAGGGACACGGGTGAAACACTGGCAGACTGGTTCACTTGGCTGTGCTATCACTCACGCATTGATTCCTCTGGAATGTGACAAGTCGCGGTTCGGGAAGAATACCTAAAGGGAAACAGAAAAATAATACGCAAAAGGTGTAGGTGTTGAAGGTGCAGGTGGTGCAGGTGTAGTGGTGCAGGTGTAGTTGGTGCAGGTGTAGTGGTGCAGGTGTAGTGGTGCAGGTGTAGTGGTGCAGGTGTAGTTGGTGCAGGTGTAGGTGATGCAGGTGAAGGTGATGCAGGTGTAGTGGTGCAGGTGTAGTTGATGCAGGTGTAGGTGGTGCGGGTGTAGTGGTGCAGGTCTAGGTGGTGCAGGTCTAGGTGGTGCAGGTGCATGTTATCAGATGAAGTTGGTGCAGGTGTAGTGGTGCAGGTGTAGGTGGTGCAGGTGTAGTGGTGCAGGTGTAGTTGGTGCAGGTGTAGGTGATGCAGGTGTAGGTGGTGCAGGTGTAGTGGTGCAGCTGTAGTGGTGCAGGTGTATTAGTGCAGGTGAAGGTAATGCAGGTGTAGTGGTGAAGGTGTAGGTGATGCAGGTGTATTGGTGCAGGTTTAGGTGATGCAGGTGTAGGTGGTGCAGGTGTAGTGATACAGGTGTAGTGGTGCAGGTGTAGTGGTGAAGGTGTAGTTGGTGCAGGTGTAGGTGATGCAGGTGTAGGTGGTGCAGGTGTACTGGTGCAGCTGTAGTGGTGCAGGTGTATTAGTGCAGGTGAAGGTAATGCAGGTGTATTGGTGCAGGTGTAGTGGTACAGGTGTATTGGTGCAGGTTAAGGTGATGCAGGTGTAGGTGGTGCAGGTGTAGGTGATGCAGGTGTAGGTGATGCAGGTGTAGTGGTGCAGGTGGAGTGGTGCAGGTGGAGTGATGCAGGTGTAGTGTTGCAGGTGTAGTGGTGCAGGTGTAGTTGGTGCAGGTGTAGGTGATGCAGGTGAAGGTGATGCAGGTGTAGTTGTGCAGGTGTAGTGGTGCAGGTGTAGTTGATGCAGGTGTAGGTGGTGCGGGTGTAGTGGTGCAGGTCTAGGTGGTGCAGGTGCATGTTAACAGATGAAGTTGGTGCAGGTGTAGTGGTGCAGGTGTAGGTGGTGCAGGTGTAGTGGTGCAGGTGTAGTTGGTGCAGGTGTAGGTGATGCAGGTGTAGGTGGTGCAGGTGTAGTGGTGCAGCTGGAGTGGTGCAGGTGGAGTGGTGCAGGTGTAGGTGATGCAGCTGTAGTGGTGCAGGTGGAGTGGTACAGGTGTAGTGGTGCAGGTGTATTTGTGCAGGTGTAGGTGATGCAGGTGTAGTGGTGCAGGTGTAGTGGTGCAGGTGTAGTGGTACAGGTGTAGTGGTACAGGTGTAGTGGTGCAGGTGTATTTGTGCAGGTGTAGGTGATGCAGGTGTAGTGGTACAGGTGTAGTGGTGCAGGTGTAGTGGTACAGGTGTAGTGGTGCAGGTGTATTTGTGCAGGTGTAGGTGATGCAGGTGTAGTGGTGCAGGTGTAGTGGTACAGGTGTAGTGGTGCAGGTGTAGGTGGTGCAGGTGTAGGTGGTGCGGATGTATTGGTGCAGGTGTAGTGGTGCAGGTGTAGGTGATGCAGGTGTATTGGTGCAGGTGTATTGGTGCAGGTTTAGGTGATGCAGGTGTAGGTGGTGCAGGTGTAGTGGTACAGGTGTAGTGGTGCAGGTGTAGGTGATGCAGGTGTATTGGTGCAGGTGTATTGGTGCAGGTCTAGGTGATGCAGGTGTAGGTGGTGCAGGTGTAGTGGTACAGGTGTAGTGGTGCAGGTGTAGTTGGTGCAGGTGTAGTTGGTGCAGGTGTAGGTGATGCAGGTGTAGTGGTGCAGGTGTAGGTGATGCAGGTGTAGGTGATGCAGGTGTATGAATGCAGGTGTAGGTGATGCAGGTGTAGTGGTGCAGGTGTAGTGGTGCAGGTGTAGGTGATGCAGGTGTAGGTGATGCAGGTGTAGGTGATGCAGGTCTAGATGGTGAAGGTGCATGTTAGCAGGTGTAGTTGGTGCAGGTGTAGGTGGTGCAGGTGTAGGACGTTGGGTTTCCTCCAGCATTAAGCTGATACTTAACAGAAATAACAGAAATGCTGATAGAGACAGTGTTAAAACCCAACTCACTCACTCACGAATCCTCCCATACCACGAAATACCCCACTCACTACTTCTGACATAGCACACAAATACCAGATCTGTAATACATACATATATCACGCTTATAAGAACCCTGAAAAAATGACAACAATCCTCAAACATATCTTTCTTTGAACAATACTCAATGACATCCAAGCTCATTTACCGTATCCAAAAACCCTATTTTCTCCTACTGACGCTGCATCTGAAAGATCGTGTCCGACGACGTCATATCTGACGTCAGTCACTCTCACAATATCTGCAATAACAGTTTTTTGACGAATACATGACACGTAATTTTAAATAACAACTTCGTTTATTCTTTGTAACGATGCTTCAGAGCTACCTCTTGCCCCTTCAGCACCTACTGCTGAAACGTCGTTACAACGAATAAAAAAGGTTGTGATACATAAAAAACATGTCATGTATTCATGTTCTTCAAACTTCTAAGTGCCTATCAAAGACTGTTTTCTCTACGTATCCAAATAGCCCAACATTAATATAATGCTGTGTTTGCTCTCCAGTTGCTCATATACGGAGATGTCCACAGTAAGTCTCTGGTGCTAGCTGAGGCCCGCTTGTTCGATGGCATTCGCCCTGGGCAACGTCGGCACTGGAAGGACTTCCCACTGCTCGTGCCCCCAACGTGCCCATCAAGGCTCAGCAAATGTCGCGTCATCGACGTCAGATATTGCGTAGCGGTAAGTGCTTCTGTTCTTGACGCGGTGCCAATTTTAGGTAAGGCGAAACTATAATAGCGTAATGCTATTAAAGGGACGTGGTTCACTTCATAGACAAGACAGGACAGACAAATGATAGAAGTGGCACAAGTGAAATTTCATACGGTAAGGGGGTTCTGAGCCTCACATTGAAGGAATTGCATTGTCGTGAACTCTTTGTTGTGGGCGTAACATGACGTCATAGAGGGGGTATATCCGCAAACTCTCGAGTCAACTGAGGTGGTATATCCGCAAACTCTCGAGTCAACTGAGGTGGTATATCCGCAAATTCTCGAGTCAACTGAGGTTGTATATCCGCAAACTGTCGTGTCAACTGAGGTGGTATATCTGCAAATTATCGAGTCAACTGAGGTGGTATATCCGCAAACTCTCGAGTCAACTGAGGTGGTATATCTGCAAATTATCGAGTCAACTGAGGTGGCATATCCGCTAACTCTCGAGTCAACAGAGGTGGTATATCCGCAAACTCTCGAGTCAACTGAGGTGGCATATCCGCAAATTCTCGAGTCAACTGAGGTGGTATATCCGCAAATTCTCGAGTCAACTGAGGTGGCATATCCGCTAACTCTCCAGTCAACTGAGGTGGTATATCCGCTAACTCTCCAGTCAACTGAGGTGGTATATCCGCAAATTCTCGAGTCAACTGAGGTGGCATATCTGCAAACTCTCCAGTCAACTGAGGTGGTATATCCGCTAACTCTCCAGTCAACTGAGGTGGTATATCCGCAAATTCTCGAGTCAACTTAGGTGGTATATCCGCAAATTCTCGAGTCAAGTGAGGTTGTATATCCGCAAATTCTCGAGTCAACTCAGGTTGTATATCCGCAAACTGTCGTGTCAACTGAGGTGGAATATCCGCTAACTCTCGAGTCAGCTGAGGTGGTATATCCGCTAACTCTCCAGTCAACTGAGGTGGTATATCCGCTAACTCTCGTGTCAACTGAGGTGGTATATCCACAAACTCTCGAGTCAACTGAGGTGGTATATCCGCAAACTCTCGAGCTCTTCTATCTGGACAATAATGAAGAAAGCTCTAGTCGAAATCCTTCTCAACTCAAACGATGACGTCATACTTTAGGGATTGATGCTATTTCCTTTGCCACTCACCATATGTAACAAACCCAGCACTGTAATCATCTCTCATGAAAGAGTTAAGAACATTCTGAGAAATGAACTGGACATGACAAAGGTTTCAGCACGTTAGGTTCCCAGGCTCCTGACTCTTGATCAGAAACGCTCATCATCTCTTGTGAGAATTTATGTAGTTTTGAAGCAGACCCAGCTGATGGAGTTTTGGGTTCACACTATCAACCAGAGACTAAAGAACTCCCAAAGCAATGGAAACGTCTCCTCTTCCGAAGAACTAAAAGTTTGTTCTACAAGGGGGCAAGTCGACCGCTTCGGTTTTCTGGGACTCCAAATCAATCCTACTGTTGGGCTACCCCCGGAAAGGCAATACTAGTGATTGCCATATTAAGCTAGTCAGTGTTGGTAACAGTGTGAAAATATCAAGGCTAAACGTCATGGATAATTCACTGAAGATGAATTCTTTCACCAGGAAACATGTTGCATGTCTGCAATGCATGACTGTGGCTTCGAACCGATTGAACATCCTCCATATTCACGACATTTGGCACCGACAGATTCCCACCTCTTCCCAAACCTGACAACTGTGTGGCAAGTTTTATGCAATTGATGATGACGTCATTTTAGCTGTGAAGGATTTTGCAACACTAGCAGGAAGTCTTCTACACTAGTGGGATCCTGACATTCCAGCATCGTTGGCAGAAGTGTGTGAAAAAATATTTAGTAATATCAACGCAGTCCATCACAGTTAGGCTCAGAGCGTGTCGGACTCCCGTCGGATTACACCTTGAAGGTCAATTGACATTAATATTGAGGCACATACACGGAATGTTTAGCCATTTCATGTAAACGATTAAAGGATGCGATTATAGTCATAGATATGATAGAGCTAATGTTGTATTTTCTACCTCAATAATCGATGATAAATGAAAGGTCTTGTATCTTGTGTCCGATTAGAAGGGTGAGGTGAGGTGAAATTGGGTTTAACGTCGCGTCCAAGATTATTGCACTTATATAGCGACGTGCATGTACGTGTGTGTGTTTGTGTGGCTGCTTGTACTAGTCCGGACTGATGCCGATTTATAGTGCTAGCTCACTGAGATACCATGCCGCAGTTTAACATGAATACCCCACTCAGACACAGTATACTGACTCCGAGCCGACCAGTCCTTGTTTTAGCCCCTTAATGCCGAGCGCCAGACAGGGTAACAACAAGTACCATCTTTTAACGTCTTTTGGTATGACGCGGTCGGGGATCGAACCCCAGACCTTCCGCTCTCCGGGCGGACGCTCTACCATTAGACCACGGAGGTGGTCTGACTAGAAGGGAATACGCTGCCATTTACATATTGAGCTCAACCTTAACAATCAACTTTACATGTGTATGCCTTGCAATTACGAGCAGAATACAATGACATGACAGTTGTAAGGAATTAAAATGCTGTGTGCGGAATATAGGTTACACCTAAGACCATCGCGCCAGTAGTTTCAAGCAGTGGGGCCAAACACGCTACCAAAGGGTTGAGAGAGAAACACGTCATCTTTCTTTTTGTATTTCAGGTTGAAGCGCATTTTTCCGATTCCGTTTTATATGCTGCAGTCCCAGTTACCGTGGTTACCATTCCAGAAAAAGGACTTATTCCAATAAAGTGGATGTACAGGGGTAAGGTGGAACCATACATTCTTGTTGCAGTGACAGGTTATATTTCTGCTAACTCCAATCTTGTACTATCCGACTAAATTGGAATGAGGCGACAAACCGCAACATTAATATTCATATTATCCACCACCGGTTTGTCAAGTACAATTCTCAAAGACATACGTGATGCAGGTGGATAATGGCTGATTTCACAATTTTGCTGTCTCATTCCTTTTGTAATACTTCATATATCAAATAGACACGCTCTGATGGTGACATGGCGTTTTGTGTACGATGTTTTATTTGTAACTTTTGCCAATGTATATTTCTGGCTAGATGACTCGTTTGACATGCCACTCATGCCGAATGCGTGCAGCTCTAACGTAGATTGAGGCGCAGGTCCGCTAGAAAAATAGGTCACTATTTGCAGTCCACGAAAAGGCGTCACCATAACATGGGGTGAGGTGAAATGTCTCCCTCACGGTTATTGTACGTATAAAAGCAACATGCATATATAAGCACGCGTGTGCCTGTGCATGCGTGTGTGTAGCTACTTGTGCTAGTTCTGACAAATGCCGGTTTCATTTTGCTAGGCCACTGAGATACCATGCCGCAGTTTAACATGAATACCCAACTCAGACACAGAATACTGAATCCGTGCCGACCAGTCCTTGTTTTAACCCCTTAATGTCGAGCGTCGGTGCATATGCTTACTCATTCGCTTGATGAAGAAGGAAGAAGCATATACTCCGAAAAGTTGTGTTCTTCATAATAAAGAAGTTGACATCCATAAACTCTCTTCCTAACTGTAGGATTCCTAGATTCATATTGATAATTATTCGTGTTTTATAGACACCCTATCGGTGGTGTTGGATTATTAAACGGATACCACCTGTCATAACTCCAATATTGATAGAAGCAGCGGGTCCGGGTCCCTCACTCACTCTACTTTGATGTTTTCAGAATGTCCACTGACCGGCGGCGAGGAGCAGGGCGAGGAGGGGACGACGGAATTACCCAAAGATTACCGACCTAAGTATAAATACTATGAAGAGATCAGGGACGCGAGGAAGGACAGGTATTACCTACTGAAACTGAGGCAGAGCCCGGGGATACGGAGGCGCCAGTTAGTAGCTAAAGCCGAACTTAGTGCAGGTATAAGACCCGACAATGTTGACCTGATCAGTGAGTCTCATGCATGATCGTCGAAATACAGACACGAGGAACTCGGAATGTAGCTCTGAGCGTCATCGGCAGATTCCGCCGCGCCAGTTGATAGATCGCTGTGTTACGTCAATCCATGACGAATGGTCGCGTCGTCTGGAGCGTGTGTTCAAGTTAATAAATGAACGTTTGGGCCTTGTTGACAGTTTGTGAAGGGTTAAAGTTCAGTGTGTCAGATTCATATTTTGAATTCGTTCATAGACGTAAAGTGTTCGTGTTCTACAAGAATCTTTTCATTAGCGAGTAACAAGGAACAAAAGGATGTCAATACACCAGAAAAAACCCAAATACATCAAGGTTTTCGATACTTGAGATGTGTGGATAGATGTATGATTAGAATTATCATAAACCCTAACATATCAGAAGGACGAGAACAGTTCGTGGAAATGATGAAGTCAACAGAAACCTCCACCGATTCACCATTACCGGATATCAATCTTTTGCAAATGAGAGCTGTGTTCCTGTAATGTTAAGATGGCGACCATTTCCTGAGGTCGCCTGTAAGGGCATTCCTGTTCTTTTCATTCTCCCAATGAGCTGTAAAGTGCACCGTGGTCTGCAGGCGTGCAGCTTGGTAGCATTCCTTAGTTTGAGATGTCAACACTTCTCTGATGCCATTTACAAATCTGTATTTATTTCCACATCATTAGACATACTATATTTGTCAGTAGAATTCTGACTTTTAAGTTTGTTAGGCGTGAGACCTATTTTGTGAAATTGCAAAAAGATGTAAATTTGTCATGTTGAGTAACCTAACAGGTCAATTGTATCATTTGACGCACTTTGAAAATTCAAATTTGAAAATGAACGATAATACATGTGTGACATTCGCTGTCAATGTTTTATACATCCAAGACCAATAAATATCTCCTGAACACGATTTTGATTTACAAAAGATTATGTGTACGTCAAACAAAAACTTTATGATGATCTATAGAAAGTCACGTTGCTTTGATTGTCTTGCTAATTGATTAGGGATAGACTGGGACACGGTGACTCATGTGTCTTTCAGTCACTAGATTTCCTGAGGGCTTTTCGCTGAGACCTAGGACTGCCATGCTCAATACGACGGTCGGTCGGTGCTTGGTTCTTATGTCGGTGTCTTTCTATTTCTCAGTTTCTGTTTCTTTTCCTTTTGTTTCAACAAACTTAATCTCGATCAAGCAATTGTGTCACACTGTAAAAGTGTGCGTGTTAGTGGTTGCCGGGACGGGAAGATCCAACTTGGTTTGCCACTCCCTACATGGTATCTATGTGTTTTCTATATTTAAAAGACCGTTGTACAAAGATTAAGTAGCTGACTATGTGCCGGTTTTCAGTCACAATGGTTTTAAGAGACAATACTGTTCACCGAAATAATAGCCTTTCGTCGGTCCGGAAATTGCAGGTTACATCAACGGTGTCCCACCGCCTGCCACACAACTTAGACGTGCTACACTGAGACATGCTACCCTGAGAAATGCCACACTTAGGAATGCGACATGCTACACTGATACATACTACACTGAGACGTGCTACACTGAGACGTGCTACACTGAGAAATGCCACACTTAGGAATGCGACATGCTACACTGATACATACTACACTGAGACGTGCTACACTTAGATACCCTACACTGAGATATGCTACACTGAGACATGCTACACTGAGACACTGAGACGTGCTACATTGAGATACCCTACACTGAGATATGCTACATTGAGACATGCTACACTGAGACATGCTACACTGAGACATGCTACACTGAGACATGCTACACTGAGACACACTACATTGAGACATGCTACACTGAGACATGCTACACTGAGACATGCTACACTGAGACAGCCTACACTGAGACAGCCTACACTGAGACATCCTACACTGAGACATCCTACACTGAGACATGCCATACCGAGACATGCTACACTGAAACATGCTACACTGAGACATGCTACACTGAGACATGCTACACTGAGACATGCTACACTGAGACACACTACATTGAGACATGCTACACTGAGACATGCTACACTGAGATATGCTACTTTGAGACATGCTACACTGAAACATGCTACACTGAGACATCCTACACTGAGACATCCTACACTGAGACATCCTACACTGAGACATGCCATACTGAGACATGCTACACTGAGACATGCTACACTGAGACATCCTACACTGAGACATGCTACACTGAGACATCCTACACTGAGACATCCTACACTGAGACATCCTACACCGAGACTTCCTACACTGAGACATCCTACACCGAGACATCCTACACCGAGACATCCTACACTGAGACATCCTACACTGAGACATCCTACACTGAGACATGCTACACTGAGACATCCTACACTGAGACAGCCTACACTGAGACATCCTACACTGAGACAGTCTAAATTGAAACTTCCTACACTGAGACATCCTACACTGAGACATGCTACACTGAGACATGCTACACTGAGACTGCCTACACTGAGACAGCCGACACTGAGACATCCTACACTGAGACATCCTACACTGAGACATGCTACACTGAGACAGCCTACACTGAGATATGCTACACTGAGACATCCTACACTGAGACATGCTACACTGAGACATGCTACACTGAGACATGCTACACTGAGACAGCCTACACTGAGACACACTACATTGATATATGCTACATTACTATATTCGTCTTATACTCATATTTACACCATTATTGTTTATGAACAACAGTGTGTGACTTCAAGAATTGTTCTATTTGATGTGTAAGTAAGTAAATAAGCTTACTTTATTTAAATGAAATGAATGTATCTACACTGAGACATGCCTGAGACAAAACAAAGGCTAGAGTTGTCACGTATATCATTATGTTACTTCTTCTGTTATGGTGTTCAGTGACACAAATCTCAGGTGATTCAATGTAGAGAACAAGAGAGATACTGGAATAAACACATCTACCTACTGAATGCATGACGTCTTAATCCTTTGTGATGTAACAGCCTGGTGTGCTGGCCATGTCTCCTTACTCACTGGCAGTGACGTTTTTAATAAAACTTGTTTGAGTGGTGTGTGCTGTCGGAAGAACGCTTGTTTGTTTGTTTGCTTGTTTATTGTTTAACGCAACGGTGGTCTGTAAATAATCAAGCCTTGGCCAGACAATCCAGTAACAGACACCATGAGCAAATGGGTATACGATGACATGTATCAACCAAGTCAGCGACCCGTTACTAACCTCTTACAACAAGCATAGGTTGCTGAAGACAAATTCTAACCTGGTTTGTCCCAACGGTTAACACCTGGTGTCATCACTGGTTTGTCCCATCGGTTAACACCTGGTGTCATCACTGGTTTGTCCCATCGGTTAACACCTGGTGTCATCACTGGTTTGTCATATCGGTTAACACCTGGTGTCATCACTGGTTTGTCCCATCGGTTAACACCTGGTGTCATCAATGGTTTGTCCCATCGGTTAACACCTGGTGTCATCACTGGTTTGTCCCATCGGTTAACACCTGGTGTCATCACTGGTTTGTCCGATCGTTTAACAACTGGTCTCATCACTGGTTGGTCACATCGGTTAACACCTGGTGTCATCACTGGTTTGTCCCATCGGTTAACACCTGGTGTCATCACTGGTTTGTCCTAACGGTTAATACCTGGTGTCATCAATGATTTGTCCCATCGGTTAACACCTGGTATCATCACTGGTTTGTCCGATCGGTTAACACCTGGTGTCATCACTGATTTGTCATATCGGTTAACACCTGGTGTCATCACTGGTTTGTCCCATCGGTTAACACCTGGTGTCATCACTGGTTTGTCCCATCGGTTAACACCTGGTGTCATCACAGATTTGTCCCATCGGTTAACACCTGGTGTCATCACTGATTTGTCCCATCGGTTTATACCTGGTGTCATCACTGGTTTGTCACTTCGGTTAACGTCTGGTGTCATCACTGGTTTGTCCCATCCGTTTACACCTTGTGTCATCACTGGTTTGTCCCATCGGTTAACACCCTGTGTCACCACTGGTTTGTCCCATCGGTTAACACCTGACGTCATCACAGGTTGGTCCAACCGGTTAACACCTGGTGTCATCACTGATTTGTCCCATCGGTTAACACCTGGTGTCATCACTGGTTTGTCCCATCGGTTAACACCTGACGTCATCACAGGTTTGTCCAATCGGTTAACACCTGGTGTCATCATTGATTTGTCCCATCAGTTAACACCTTGTGTCATCACTGATTTGTCCCATCGGTTAAAACCAGGTGTCATCACTGGTTTTTTCCCAACGGTAACACGTGGTGTCATCACTGGTTTTCCCATCGGTTAACGCCTGGTGTCATCACTGATTTGTCCCAATCGGTTAACACCTGGTGTCATCACTGATTCGACCCATCGGTTAACACCTAGTGTCATCACTGATTTGTCCCATCGGTTAACACCTTGTGTCATCACTGATTTGTCCCATCGGTTAACACCTTGTGTCATCACTGATTTGTCCCATCGGTTAACACCTGGTGTCATCACTGATTTGACCCATCGGTTAACGTCTGGTGTCATCACTGGTTTGTCACATCGGTTAACGTCTGGTGTCTTCACTGGTTTGTCACATCGGTTAACGCCCGGTGTCATCACTGATTTGTCCCATCGGTTAACACCTGGTGTCATCATTGGTTGGTCCCATCGGTTAACACCTGGTGTCATCACTGATTTGTCCCATCGGTTAACACCTGGTGTCATCACTGATTTGTCCCATCGGTTAACACCTGGTGTCATCACTGGTTTGTCACATCGGTTAACGCCTGGTGTCATCACTGATTTGTCCCATCGGTTAACACCTGGTGTCTTTACTGGTTGGTCCCATCGGTTAACACCTGGTGTCATCACTGATTTGTCCCATCGGTTAACACCTGGTGTCATCACTGATTTGTCCCATCGGTTAACACCTGGTGTCATCACTGGTTTGTCCCATCGGTTAACACCTGGTGTCATGACTGTTTTCAGTTATCATCACATATATATGCCATCTCTGTTCTGCATTTTACGCTTCTGTTTCAGCAGGTATTACAGATTAATTCTTCTGTGGCTTTTACTTAAATTAAATTTAAGTCACTGTGTCGGACACATTTTCATCTGCAGTAGAGGCTCTCAGGTTAAGTATCGTCAATACAGAATGTTGTAGAAATGGAAAGAGTGACCTTTGGCGACGGGCAATCCTGGAAAACGTCCGATGAATGAACAACTGGGGGTCTCCTTGACATCATTCGTGAGTTTTCTTCACGCAGGAAACGGGCAAATAATAGCACCAACAAAGGCAATTCATTGTGCATTTGTTTGACATAGCCAAGTCTTCATTCATGACGTACGCTACCGGTAGGGCGGGGCATGTTCTTTGAGGTCATCACTGGCAGATGGTCGGTCTATTGTGCTGCCTTCTTGGCACGTTCTGCGCTCTTGTTGCAAAAACATTTCGCCTTTCTCATTTTCTGCCTTGTCAGCATATTCTAATTTGATGTTGCATACTTGCTTTTGGCTTGTTGCTCACCTGTTACTGATAAGTGAGATGAAATGGGGTTTAACGTCGCGTTTATTGCACTTATATAGCACTTATATAGCGACGTACATGCATGCATGTGTGTGTGTGTGTGTGTGTGTGTGTGTGTGTGTGTGTGTGTGTGTGTATGTGTGTGCTTGCACTGGTCCGGACTGGTGCCGATTTATAGTGCTAGCCCACTGAGATACCATGCCACAGTTTAAAACGAATACCCCACTCAGACACAGTTTACTGACACCGAGCCGACCAGTCCTTGTTTTAGCACCTTGATGCCGAGCGCCAGACAGGGTAACAACAAGTACCATCTTGTTGCTTTTAAAAACATTCCCATAATCATAAG